AATAATTATATTGTCTGAATTGTTTATACAGTAAATTATTTTGGGTTTTTATGTTTATCAAATTTTTATATATTAATTGTACTGTCTGACCTTAGTCGCATTTTAATATTTATCATTTAGAATGATCGATTAAGACAAATAAAGTTATAGCGTTGATTCATAATTATTTTCCGGTTCTATTAATTTACAGCGTGTATTATTGCATTTTATGGTATCCTATTTTAATTACTGTAATTGATACAAATTGTTATCGAAGGTCAATATGATACTGTATATTATTACCGTAAATTACAAATTAACAAATTGTTAATTATAACAATACAGTGATTTTGGAAATTCGCATCAAAACGTAACGTCGATTCTCGTATAAATCGATGCGGAAAGTTTACCTTAGTGTTGATTTTCGGAATTTTATTTTAATTAGAAAGGTAAACCACCGTGATATTCCTTAAATTACGTCTAATTGCTATACAACCGACAACAGAAAAAGAAAATTAGAAAAGGGTTGTTATTTTATTGGGTGAATTTGTTGTTGTGTGTTGATTTTACATTAAACTATTAAAACTAGTGTGTATATACTGTATATAATTTTTATATAAAATTTAAATTATCTTATTGGGGAATTTATTAATGTCTTTTGCGGTTGTTTAAACGATAGCACGCACCGGGCGAATTCGCTACAGAGGCAAATGAGATAGTGATCTCATTGACGCTAATCCGTAAGTTGGAAATAAGTCATGTGTGCCAAATTATGGGGAAAGAGTCGCGCGCCTATGTCTTAGACACTTCATGAAATTATGTGTACTTATAAATTAAATAAAAAAAAGAATATAATTAAAAGTAAATCATTATCTCCTTGTCGAAACCGCCGTCATCATATGGCGAACCAATTCTTTGTGCATGACCCATATGTAACATCTGTAAATTTTTGCGATGAGTTATGAGCGGGTAAAGTAAGCAGACTGTCAACAAACAAAACACATCTAAGCACGAAACATTCAAATTTCTCGATGCTCACCTAAATGTACGTAAGGTTTACA